ATATGACAACTAATTAAACAAACAATACAGGAGCAAAGCACTTGTATTTTGCTATACAACATGCTTTACTATTCCTCTACACATATGTATTGCAAAATAACCACTAAGTCTTTTACACGCTCTATAATAATCATTTTATGTAGATTATAAATTATGATGGCACTACTTATTACAGTAAAAAATCGATTTAACTCGCAATAATTTCATTAATATTAACAGTAAAGAACTGAAATCATAACATAATACTAATATACCATAAAGGCATGTAACAAAGTAATTGGCGGAAAAGTATTCCCACTCCTTCTATTTTTTCTGCGGCGTATTTCCTGACGCGGCGTATATACCGGGTTTATCCTATATGCAATTAAATTTGTTTATGTACGTATTTCAAGTAAATTCAACCAATTCTTTTGCAGTGTGTAAAATGCAAATTTCGACTTCCGTCAAAATGCGTAACGATCGTGCATCGTGCATCATGCGTCGATCGTTTCTTCGAAAAAAGGAAATTATGAGAAGACTTGATTTCAAATACCGTCTTGCTTTCACCGATCTCTCGTACACGGCAGGTCGGCAAAACGTGCGGCTCGTGAAAACGCACGTGCGCCACAATCAGTTAGGTGCAACTCTATTTCCTGACAGAGACCTAACGCGATCTTCGAAGACAATTTCAGATGCAAGAGCACGATCGTTTCCCCTTTTCTAACTTCCTGGCGCGCCAGTAAAGGCTCGCGCCGCGCGGTTGGCATGTTCCACAGTGACATTTCTTCGCGACAGATCGCGCGTTACAGATCGATCAATCGGATCGGGAATGGGGCACAGCGTGACAGCCGCGAGGGGAGGGCCTCCCGTGTTTATTTATCACCGTAAGCACCGCGGTCGGCTTAAAGGGACGACAAAAAGCACCTGCCGACCTCCGTACGCGACGAAAAACCAGTCCTCGTTGTACCGGTTGCAAGATCGGCATCAACGACTGGTGTCTTCCTCCTCTCTTCGCATTCTCTCTCGCGGCTTCCTCCTCGATCCCTCACTTCTCGACTGTATCACGGCAAGAGTTCCTCTACTCTCTTTTTTTTATCTCCACGAACCCCTCTTCCTCTCCTTGCGGCTCGAATTTCGCCGCATCGTCCTACTCCGAATCTCATCTCTGAATGGCGATGCGAAAGTGAATGGGACGGACGCCCGGCGAAAAGGCCAGCCGGTCGCGACTGTCGTCCGACCGGCTGGACGGTCGTAAAATCGAGAGACGCGACAGAAACATACGTTCCGCGCATTATGCATGTCGTGGACGTGGACGAAGATCGGAGCAAGGAGATTTCCCGCGAGGGATTAAAATTGCAATACTCTTCTTAGCGTCGCTCGCCTGATATCTCCTTCAGCTAAAAGCCTTGGCGACTGTTGGATAATCGCTCGCAAAAAAGACTTTTGTGCAAAAGCGCAAGATGGATAGCGGTCGCCGGCCTCGTTTTTAACATCGATCATCCATTAACTCTAAACCTGTCCATATATGTATATCCTTCTGTAAGATACATTTGTGCTTCTGTCATTCAGATTGTAGTTAGTCTTCTTTATTTCAATTTTTATATTTGCATGGCAAATATTGTTTCCCAACAATTTATCTCAATTCATTACACAAATAACTCTATTGATTTCAATAGTAAAGATAAAACATTTTTTGCTATGTAGTCATCATTATGATGTTCGTATCTCGACGTTACTGTGATTTAATTAAAGAGCTTTTAAAAATCAATCAGTGTTTCTATTTCTTAAGAGTTAACTAGAGGATAAATATCATTCTTATCTAAATCCACTTCATAATCGCTCGTGATTAAGATACATTCAAATAGAATGACACGCGTATTACGGGCTTTACTCGATATATTAAATCAATTTAATGCCTTTTATCGCAGACAAGAAGCAACTTCTATGAGAATGTAATATGGATAATGCTGTGTCTATTCGAAATAAATTGAAAACCGGTTTCGACAAACGCGTGACACCAAGGACCACGAAGTCTCGCTACATCAATCTACACCTTCGAGTTTTTTTTCCAACGTTCCGCACAGCGCGACATAAAGTGCGCTACCGGAGCGCAATGATCCTTACATTAAAAAAAATACGCTTAGATCGAAATATCAGTTAGCTCTTACGCCATTTGTACATGCCATTTACATTCTGATGCGTGACCACACCTGTGTTCACAGTTCTCCAACCTCGCTCGGCAAAGCGTGACAAGGCTAAGCACATCGTTTCCTTCTTAGCTGTCGTACTTTACATTAAATTTGTCTTACGATAAATAGAATAACTGAATAAGTCTCAATTTACCTGTTTGTTCAATGGAGAAAACTACTTCTGGGAAGATTTATCGTTCAGAGATCTCGTATGTATTTAGAAGCGATGTCCTTTAATCCAGAAATAGTCGCCACCTGGAAGATTTTTAAATCTCAGCGACGACAAAATGTAAATTCTTGCAAAATATTGCTCAACATATTTTTTTAAGAATTATTCTTTACGAACCTTTAAATGTTTTATATGCAATATTATTGAAAATTCGCAATAAAAAGCGTTATACTAATTAAATATTTATTTTTTAGAAATACTGTCATAATCTATTTAACGTGTTTATTCCGTTTAATATTTGTTTGAGTTCTACTTTTCTTTCAAACAAAATTGTGATTAAATCCATATCTATAATGTTCTCAAATACTAATAAATCGCAATCAATAATGTACAATATAATATTGTTAATAATAAATTTTGATTGAGATGTAAAAACACCCCAGGTAATCATTTAACATAAAAAAATCAGATGACTATTCTCGTTAAGGGGGTACGTCTCTGTCGTACCCCTGAAAGTACATCCGGCGGAGATGCGGCTCATCGCGTCCGCGAACTTGTCTCGCTTTCTCTCTCCCCCTGCCATACCGATGCCTATTGTTTCACGGTGCATCATCGCAGGGTCCGTGAAACACCGGTGTGCGCGGAGGTTTCTTGCAGAGGTAAAGGCGAAGGACGAAGGGGCGAAGGAGACGACAGCGACGGAGTACCGTGGCCAGTGCGGCACAAGGGGGGGCAGTGGGGGCGAATATCGCTCGTACGCATGCGCGGTGCGTTCCGCGATCTCTCAGACTACCGGCCAGGCCACCAGACTCCGGCTGTGGCCTCAGTCGTCCGCGACATTCTGTCCGCGATACGATTCGGCGTGAATGCGTCGCGTCTTCCTCCGAGTCCTACCGAATCGTCTATACCCGGTGTATAGCGAACTACCCCCTGCAAAGAAACTGATGGTGAACAGGAAAGACTCGTAACATTGCACGCCGAAATCACACGATATATACGAAGGATATCTTTCAGGAGATGTCCTCTTGTGACAAAATAATCTGGTGAATGAAAAAAACAATCGCAAAAAAAAGATTATTATTGAAGGGACTGAAACGTGGTGAACTAATCGACTTTTAACCAATCGTGTGGCTCAAGTACAGATAATACTCAATAATTATTAAAAGGTTAAAAGGATATAGATTCTTGTTTGAGACCACTTTTTGTAAAATGCGGAACAGCGTAAAATGACATTATCGACGAATCATTGTTAACGCGAATCATCTTCGCGAACTAATTCCGATATTTTATGTGAAATTCAGGTGATACCAGTAATTAGTAACGGACTCCGTTTTACAGCGGTTTTCATCACCGATTGCACTGGAGTCGCGCCAAAAGAAGTCGCCTTCGGGATTGCTCCGTCGTTTCAGGTTCCGCGGTCACCACGTGGTCACTGCAACCACGACGTCGCCGCGACGTGCGGTTAAATTGGGAGACAGAGAGAGAGAGAGAGATAGAAATAAGCCTGCGGTCAGGGAAAATTGACGGATTGAATTGTCAATTGATCCGCAGAATCCGCAGAAATCGTTTGGCAGGGCGCGACGCCGCGGCGCGTCCCGTTTCGGTTCGATCGATGGAATGATCGACGAAATATCGGCCATCGCGAGTGCTGTTGTTGCTGGTCGACAATCGAGCGGGCTCGATGCGCTGTTGAGGAGCACGCGACCGGCGGCGAGGTATCGAGAGGTGATCGACAGGTGCGACCGCGCGAAAGCCGCAGTCACGTGGCTCGTGATGATGTAAGGTGACCTGAGAAAAACGGTGCTGACGAAATGACGCGCGACAGGAGGTTGCTGCTGTTGTTGGGTCTGCTGATGGTTTACGGCCTATTTGTGGCCGAATGCCGGTACCATCAGGACGAGGACGCGGCAACGGAGACGAGACATAGACACAGGCATAGACACGAGTCCTCGAATCGAAGGAACCACCACGAGCTCGACAGGAAAACCTGGCAGGAGGTGGATTACGAATACGAAGGAGACTTCGAGGAGCCGATCGACGAAGACGATTATGAGACGCGATCGTATTACGATTATCCCAGGTCGCATCATCGATCTGCACAAAAGAGTTATCACAACCGGATGCTCGAGCCGCGCTATCCATCTAGGTATCATAACGATGGATATCACGCTGGAAGTGGCTGGTACGATGAGAACAACGACAGACGCAGAATGCCATCGCGGTATAATACGAAGAATCATCGATACAGACCCGGCAGCAGAACTCATCATAGGCCCGCGTATTCGCGCAATCGCGACGTATCGAACTTGGACGACACGGAGGAAGATTATGACTATGAGAGGAGGCCGTATAGATACGGAAACGGCGGGGTAGACAAGCATTACGAACGATGGAGAAACTCTGGACGGTACGCGTCTTACAGGAGAGACTGGAGAAGTAGAATGAACGGCTATCATGGAGCGAAGAGACACCGCTTGGAAGATCGCGAGGACGTCATCGATCGTGGCGACGTGACGAGATGGACGGATGATTGGAAGAGAAGATTGAATTCCTCGGACTCAAAGTATTTTGCGAAGAAAAAAGACGAGCAAAAGGCAGAGGAAGACGAAGATTACGAAGATCACGGTGGGCTCGAGGAGGACGATAAAGATGAAGACGAAGAGGATATCTGGAAAGACATCAACGATGAAAGAAACGATGATAATGGCGAAGAAGAATTTGATAACGATTTTTACAAAAACGGAACAAAGCCACTCTTGAAAACCTACGATGATATCATCAAAAGACTCACGTCCAACGACCCGACTACTCCAAAGACCACTGTCAAGAGAGATTATCGGAACACCGAATCGAATAAGCACGTGAAGCGCGATGGTTACAAAAATCTCAGGTACGAACCGAGAAATATTTCCAAATCGATAGAACTTTTCGCGAGTACATCTAATGCTACCAATACCACGTCTAATTACTTCGTAAATTCGACCGTCAAATCTGTCAGACATAAACCCTCGAAGCACACAATTAGTAAAATGGTCAAGAGTCACGATCGGCAAGAGGCAAAAACCGATTCTCAGACGAAAAGCCTTGAGCAGGATTACGACGAGTACCTGAACAGCCCGGATAACGAAAAGGAAGAGGATCTCGTCAGAGCTGGAGTCGAGGATGATTCGGCCATGCAGGCGGATGTTACTAATACGGTGAGTAATAATTATTGCGAAGAAAATTGATTTCTTTTAAGTTTCTCGACAACTGAAGCGAGTTACTAGTGAGATTGTTGAAACCGTCGGTATTCCTTATGTCACTAATCACGGCGTAATGAAGAGATTGCGTAACCATGACAATAACAGGAAATTTAACAATCGTCGTGTCTGTCGGTACGACATGCAGCAGCGCGTAATCCACGTTTAATATCAAAACGTAAAATTGTAACAATCGTATATTCATAGTTTTTATTCTCATTCAATAAGATTCATGTTAAAAAAGATTGCATTATTTAACAATAGACGGAGAATTGGAATAGATTCAATCGAGTATTGTCGTGCGTTACAATAAACCAACTTCAAAACGCGGACAATTCATTTTCTCAGAAATCACGGAACGCGAATGAAAGAACGCTTTCGTATATATGTCCGATGCTGCCGTGAGAGCTGAAAGCCGTAAAGTCAGTTACCGTTGAGTTCTCCCCGGATCGATGGTGGAGATTAAAATCGAGTCAAGGGTTCGACTTGGCAAGCCACGTACAATTGCACACGCGAGCTTGAGCTATCGATGCTTTTCCTCTTCGCGAATGCGCCGCGCCGCTCCGTTTGCATGAAATACCCGAGGAAGAGCACGTGACGCGAGAGACCATTCTGTAACTGTACCCGAAGAACCCTCGCAGGTCTATCGACGATCTCGGCAATTGATGATCGTCTTTCGTGTATCTTTCCGGATACGTACGGTGATACCGATCGTAATTCTCGTCGAATGCAAGATCGGATATTTAGTGATCGTTGCTAATTTACAGACTATCATTACTTGCGAGCATTTCTTCGTTACACAGCGATTTGCGTTCTCATTTGGTTGAGATCTCTGGTAGAAATCTTTGCTGTTTTCCTAGACATTCATCAAATTACTGTATTCTTATTAGTTGTATAAGAAATGAATACGAACCTGATATAGCTTTATTCAGCGATTGAAGCAGATTTTCTGCTTCAAAAATGCTGTGTAACATTTGCGTAAACTATCTGTCCAGTTATTGTTTAATATTAATAGGTTACAATACTCAATAATAAATCATTTTTTCTAGTACATTGGAACAAGACTACTCATTTTTCATAGTTTTTTTTATACCTTGAATGCGTCTTTCAAACTGCTTCATTATGTCACAATTTTGAAAAATTTACAATTCAATTTATAAAAAAAGGAATATGAATCTGATGTAAAAATTGACAAATTTAAAATGTTAAATACAATATGACGGATTGTTACAAAATGTGAAAATACTTTCATAAATTTGGAATTTGTTAAGTTTGACATCGGATTCATGTATATAGTAGCCGAAAAAACCTTTATGTTTAATATACGTATGATATGTACTTAATCATGTTTAATTAATCACAATAGAAAGCTATTTGATGAATCATCAATTATTTAGGTATATATTTATTTTTTCGTAATAAACCTTGTATTTTATTATGAACATCTTATTAATCATAGTGCGGGATATTAAAAAATTTTTTCGAGAATTGAAAGTTTTGACAACTTAATACGTAATTTTATATCAAATAAAACTTCTCCAACAGTATGATATCATATCATAGTTATGATATGACAAAATATGAAAAATGATATGAAAAAAAAGTTACGGTTGCCACAAACAAATAATTATGATATTTTTCGCCCATCAATACATATTAGTTATAGGAACTATAGTACTATGGAAGTTATCTATATGGTTGCTCTATACTTAGCGAGGGTAACTACTGTCATGGATGTTACAACAATTGTTATATATATGTTAACCTGTCTTAAACTGATGGCATTTATAACCTCATATTTATATGAAATACATACTTAGATTGGCCCATAGGTTAGATTGGTTAAGATAAGATATGTCGGTAGGAAAATTTAAGTTTAATGTGAACATAATAATATAAAAGTTGATAAAGGACTCTTGATATAAACATAAACGAAAAAGAAAAGAGACGTTGAAAGAGTTATAATAAATTTAAAGTAGTAATAACGTCTATTTTCAGGCTGACATAATTAAACAAATATTAGAATCCTTATTATGACCGTACAATTATAAATTAACAAGAATAAGGAAACCGCAATAACTAACGGTCTACTAAGCCATCTACGGTCAAAGCTAGATCACTATGCTTATTATGATATAATGTATGAATTTTATATACCGCGTATGTAAATAGACGTTATTACTACTTTAGATAAATGATTGCGAAGAATATTATTACGTCGACTCGCCATCAGAGGTCTATGGATGTTCGCAATGTTTCTCGCAAGTGCTGAAATACGCGCATATCTGTATATATAGAATCTCGATTTAATAACTAAAACAGGCGTCTAAGGTAGGTTTCCATTACAATGTCTTACTGATGAGTCCAGTAGTGGAAACCGGGACGAAACGCCAACTCGTGTATATTCTTCGCAATCTTATTTTTCACAGATTTTAGATTCATCATTACTTTAACATTTACATTATTAAGTTTTAATATATGTCTTTCAACATATTATTAAAGATCTAATAAGATGCTATATAGAAGCATCAAATAATTGTTAGATGTGCTTTAGCAATTTAACTAAAAAGTGATATTACTGCGGTAGTTGTTTAGTGTTACGTTGTAAGTCTGAAAAAATTTTCGGCACGTGATTGGGAACTACATACGCGGTATATAAAATTCACACATTATAATAAGCATAGTGATCTAGCTTTGACCGTAGATGGCTTAATAGACCATTAGTTATTGCGGTTTCCTTATTCTTGTTAATTTATAATTGTACGGTCGTAATAAGGATTCTAATATTTGTTCAAAAACAATAAACAAAAACAGGCTAATGAGAGTCAAAAACTGCGGTAATTAGTGCGAATTAATAATTATTTATTACATATATACTTATAAAAATAATTCAGACGTTTCGGCTTCTATTTGAGCCATCTTCAATGATCTGAACAAAACTTCTTCAAAATTAATGTAGCATGGTCATTAATTGGCTGCATAGGTGTAGCAACACATCATCTCCATTAGAAAAAGACAAAAAATTTGATGGTTTTTTGACAATTAATGGACAACTATTGAATAAAAATTAACAATAAACAAATTATTGATAAAAAAATCAGAAAGGAATAATGAAGAAACTCATCAATGCAGCCATTATGTAAATGTAAAATACATCAAAAGAAATTACAAAATTAAACGTGTAAAATAAAAGTAATACAAAGTCAACGGACAATAGTCAAATGAGATAAAAACAATATGTGAGAGTGACAAGTATGTAATGAGACTGCGCAAGACGTTAAACAAGAACTGCCAATAACAAAGCACCATTACAATGAACATAGAAGAAATCATATTAAATGTATCATTTTAAAGTGTCTAAGATAGATAAGTAAGAATCATGTAAAAATTCAGTATCTGATTGTAAGTTCAAACTATTATTTTGTAATTTAATGTGTAGCATTTCTGCAATGCGTCGTCTATAAAACCATCTTTCAGAATCAACTATCTCAGTATTATCTCAATCAAAATCATGATTCAAATTTAATCTATGTTCACTAATGACAGAAAAATTGTCATTGTTTTTTCGTATATCATTTTTATGTTCATGAACGACTTAAATCTTTATTATCGAAAAAAACCTCAAAACAAGACGTCAATTTTGTTACAAAAAAAGTTGAAGATAAAAAAATATGGTTTACTATTCCGTTCATGAGTGACATTGCTAACAAATTTAAAAATGCTGTTAAAGATTTAGATGTAAATTTATCGTTTTTTAGTTTCAATAAGCTCAGTTGTTTCATTCACACACACAAGGATCGTTTACCTAATATGCACAAAAGGAATTTAGATTTACATTAAGATTAATTGTAAAGACTGTAATGCTTCATATGTCGGTCAGACCAAACATACATTAAAAACAAGAATTACTGAACATAAAAATGATATACGAAAAAGCAATGGTAATTTTTCTGTCATTAGTGAACATAGATTAAATTTGAATCATGATTTTGATTGAGATAATACTGAGATAGTTGATTCTGAAAGATGGTTTTATAGACGACGCATTGCAGAAATGCTACACATTAAATTACAAAATAATAGTTTGAACTTACAATCAGATACTGAATTTTTACATGATTCTTACTTATCTATCTTAGACACTTTAAAATGATACATTTAATATGATTTCTTCTATGTTCATTGTAATGGTGCTTTGTTATTGGCAGTTCTTGTTTAACGTCTTGCGCAGTCTCATTACATACTTGTCACTCTCACATATTGTTTTTATCTCATTTGACTATTGTCCGTTGACTTTGTATTACTTTTATTTTACACGTTTAATTTTGTAATTTCTTTTGATGTATTTTACATTTATACATAATGGCTGCATTGGTGAGTTTCTTCATTATTCCTTTCTGATTTTTTTATCAATAATTTGTTTATTGTTAATTTTTATTCAATAGTTGTCCATTAATTGTCAAAAAACCATCAAATTTTTTGTCTTTTTCTAATGGAGATGATGTGTTGCTACACCTATGCAGCCAATTGATGACCATGCTACATTATTTTTGAAGAAGTTTTGTTCAGATCATTGAAGATGGCTCAAATAGAAGCCGAAACGTCTGAATTATTTTTATAAGTATATGTAATAAATAATTATTAATTCGCACTAATTACCGCAGTTTTTGACTCTCATTAGCCTGTTTTTGTTTATTGTTATTGACATTCTCGAGAGTTCTATTTTTGATTTTAATATTTGTTTGTTTAAAAAGTTAAATAAAACAAATCAGTCATATATAATAAAATAATATCTTACAAAAAATTACGAGATATACATTTAAAAAGAAAAATTTTATATATTGACAATCAGATTATTGAATGTATTAATTTAATTTATTGTGAGAGTGTAGAAAAATGATGTTCATCTTTAAAGGTTCGACAGACTTACAACTTAATATTAACGAAATTTATTATAA